GGAGCAGTTTCAGAGGGAGTTGTCCTCCCCCGTTTGTTTGCTGCTCACCTGAGTGTCTCCTGCAAAGTTCCAGACGTAAAAAGCGGAAAAGAGGATCTAGAGCCGGTGTCCTGGTTCGTCTGAGGCTGTATCGTAGACGTTTTATTGTGAAGCAGGGAGCCCCTCGCTGTCTACGAACTGTTCCATCTAATTGGGAGTTTGGCAAGTCACCTGAAACTTGGCCAGCATGGACCTCTACCTGCCTGTCTTCTGTATATTATTCAACCTGCTTGGATGAAGTTCATCATGCTCACCATCAGGTACCTCCTCGTCGTAATCGTTCTTCTGATGCGATCAACCTAATCTGTGTGCCGCTATTAGCGGATGTGGGAGCTGCTGAAATGCCATTGTTGCGCATGGCCCTCTTCAACGCGCGCTCTATCAGCAACAAGTCTTTTGTCTTGAATGAATTGATTACGAAGGAGTCCCTTGATTTCATGTTTTTAACTGAAACTTAGCAATGAAGCTTGGATCTTATTCATCTGCGGGAACTCTGTACAGGTAACTGTGCTGTTCTTGCAACACCCCGTGAAGCGCGAAGAGGTGGTGGACTAGCAGCCGTGTTCAAGGACTGTTTTACCTGCAGACTTGTAAATCCAGCCCCATTCTCTACATTTGAGCAACAAATAATTAAAGTTGGCTCTTTGAAAATATTTTACTGTATTTTAGTTTATAGACCTCCAGGTTCAGCTAGTGTATTTTTATCTGAATTCACAGATTTTTTTGTCCTCCATTATTAAGTTGGAGAAAGTTATAATTTTGGGTGATTTTAATTTTCACATTGATGATGTTACCTGTAAGGCAGCAGCAGACTTTATATCCATCACAGACTTCACTTTACTCAGCATGTGAGTGTCCCCACTCATTATAAAGGTCATACATTGGACCTTGTTTTCTCTTTAGGCCTGGATGTGGAAGATGTTCGTGTGGAGGATATATTTTAAGTGATCACAAATGTATTTATTTTAATGTGTCCTTCAGTCCTGATCCAGCTCCCTCTTGCCTTTTGAGACAGAGGTGGATTATCTCTGAACACACTTCTGATGCTTTTATTGCTCTATTTGATTCCGCCTCTTTGGATTATGACATCATGAATGTAGATTCAGTTGTTTCCTGTTTTAACACTGACTGTATGGAAATATTGAACATTATAGCACCATTGAAATAAAGCACTGTCCAACGCACTAGCTATCCGTGGATCAACAATGAAATCCTTAGTTTGAGGAGAACATGTCGGAAAACTGAACGTCTGTGGAAACGTACTTGATTGATGGTTCATAGACTGCATCTTAACGATCTGATCAGCTCTCTAAATGAGATGCTCAAGACTGCCAGAGCTCGTTATTTTACTAATCTCATCAATTCCAAAGGACGTAATTGTAGTGAACCTGATCTGACCCTGATCTGACCCTGATGACCTCAAATCTATCAGATGGACAGAGACTGTTATTTTCATTGATCTGAATACAGTCTGAGCCATCTGGTGACTTTCTTTCTTGAATTAATCAAGCAGAAAAGACAATTCTCTATGATCATCACTGTTTTACAAATGTTTGATAATCAAAATTGTGTTAGTTCACTCAATGTTACAGGTTGAAGAGAACTACTCATTTTTATTTTACATAAACAGTAAGTAATGATTTTTATTCCTCATTTAAAGAAGAAATCAGGTTAATATGCATTTCTTGATTCTCTGTCTGAAATGAGCCAAGTAATGTAAGTATGTTAAAGGTCGGTTTTCGGTCAACTAAAATGTTTACTGAGAAGAAATGTCATGTTTTACTATTTGAGAAGATACAACAGCGTGAGACTCCACGAAGTCTGGTCGTCTGCAATAATCTTTTCTGTATGTTGAAAACAATCCTTGACTTATGATAACATCTTACATCACAAACCACACCTCTATTTCTGGTCCATCGACCAATCAAAAGCTCTCAAATGAACCGGAAGTCGACCCATTTAAAATGTGGCAACTTCCCAGTTCATGTTAGAATTCGGGAGAGTCGGGAGAGTCTGGGAAAGAATTCCAGAGAGTTCCAGAGGCTGAGGAGATGAAGAACTAGAGAGTTGCTGGAGTTGAAAGATTCTGTTAGAGTCTGAGAAGTTCTGAAGAATGAAAGGAGTTCAGAGTTCTTGGGTGCAAACGCATTCAGGATGATCCAGAGACGTTTTGGGATTATAATTTCTGTTTGAAAACCACGTACGACTCTCTGAGGGTTTGGTAGTTCTCACGGAGACGCTGAAAAGAGTCAGAAAGGAACCTACGCCGACGCTGATTTCATCATCAAGGTAGATGGTTCTATTTTCGACCAAGTGTACCGTGGGCAAGCTGAGATCTGATGGAGCGTGCAATTTCTGGTCAAACAGATTAATTCCCTCACATATTTCTCTGTAAGATAACTCCATTTCATCTTAAAACTCTCCTCTTTCTCATAAAATCAGTACAGATATCTTAGGAATATCTGAAGCAAAGTCCTTGATCACCGCCGAGTGATCGATGTCCCTTTTCTGTGAAACTTGTCTGTTATTATTTTCATATTTTGCCAAATTAATGTAAATGTTTGATGTTAAACTTTGATTCTGAAAATAAATGACCGCATTCATTTTGATGGGTCAAAGATAAATAACGTCTCTCGTTACATTTCTGTTAAATTCAATGCACGACATTACACAGTCAGAAAGATGAGGAACTCGTGAAAAAGTATGCATATATACCTCAAGTATATGTATTACTACATAATCCAAAAATTTTATTTGATACAATCAAGAACATTGTCTCTCCAGCATTCTTGTCTCAAAGTGCTTTTACGTATGCAGATTGCAATCGGTTTTTAAATTATTTTATTGATAAAGTTTCCAGCATTAGGGCCAGTATTTGTCCTTCATCTTCCTTCCCTTCTACTGGCTCCTTTATCACTGATCCCTGATAAGTGGTCCTTTTTTACCCCAGTTTCAATTAAGGACATCTCAGATTTAATGGGTCATATGACACTCTCATCGAGTCCCCTTGATGTCCTTCCTACATCACTTTTAAAGATATTTTTACCTGTATTGGCCCCAGTGTTGTACAAGTGATAAATTCCTCTCTTTGTTCTGGCACTGTCCCACACTATTTTAAAACTGCTATTGTCTGTCTTTTGCTAAAAAAGCCAAACGGATTCTTCATTGCCTGAAAACTACAGACCTATCTCCAAACTTCCCTTTCTATCAAAGATCCTTGAGAAGGTTGTAGCACAACAATTAAACTGCTTCTTGGAGATAAATGACATCATGGATTCTTTTCAATCTGGTTTTCGCAAATTGCACTCCACAGAAACAGCACTTTTAAAAGTTTCTAGTGACATATTGATGGCAGCTGATTCTGGAAACTACACTGTGCTGGTTTTATTGGACTTGACTTCAGCCTTTGACACAGTGGATCACACTGTTCTTATCAATAGACTAAGAGATCTATTTGGTATTTCTGGCACCGTTTTGAATTGGTTTATTTCTTATTTATCTGAAAGGTCTTTTACTGTTTTTATGAATAATGTTCACTCTGATGTTGCACAGCTGTCTTGTGGGGTACCCCAAGGTTCTGTTCTGGGTCCAGTCCTCTTTTTATTGTATTTACGCCCTTTAGGTTTTATTTTGAAATGTTACATTAATGTGTCCTACCATCTGCATGCTGATGATATTCAGCTATACTGTTCTTTTCGAGCCTCCGAATTCCATAAATTGACAGAACTCAGAAACTGTCTGTTAGAGATCAAAACATGGCCGAATGACAACTACCTGCAGTTAAATGCAAATAAAACTGAGACTCTAATTATTGCCCCTGATGATATAATCCCAGTAATCAGGCAGTATCTTACATTTTTAAATCCTTTGGTAAATAATAATCTCAGAAATTTGGGTGTTGTCTTTGATAGTTCTTTATCTTTGGACAGTCATTGCAAATTGCTAGTTCGAAATTGTTTTTCCCACTTAAGAAACATTTCTAAACTACGAGGAATTGTATCACAGAAGGAACTTGAGATGATTGTTCATGCTTTTATTTAATCTCGGTTAGATTACTGTAATTGCATTTTAATGGGTCTGAACAAATCTTTCCTAGCTCGCCTTCAATCTGTGCAGAATGCTGCAGCGAGGCTGCTAACTAGAACCCACAGAAGAGCTCACATAACTCCTGTTCTGGCCTCCCTGTGCATTTCAGGAGTCATTTTAAAATTTTGGTCCTAACTTTTAGGGCACTTCATGGTCAGGCTCCCAAATATTTACTGGACCTTTTGAAGCCTCTATGTCCCATCAGGACTTTGAGAACTTCAAATCAAATGTTGCTGATGGTACCAAGAACTTATTTTAAAACACGTGGCGACAGAGCATTCCAAGTGGTGGCCCCAAGGCTTTGGAACGCTCTCCCTCTGTCACTGCACTGCTCAGATTCCATTGACTCTTTCAAAAATGATCTTAAGAATTATTTATTCAGACTGGCTTTTATTTAAATGTTGTTTACTTTTACTTTGTGAAGCACTTTGTGATGTCATTGTCTGTGAAAGGTGCTATATAAATAAAGATTACTTACTTACTTACTTACTTCTACACAGTGTAACTTATAACCATTTGAATACATTAAAACATTGTTTGGCATGCATTCTCAACTTTCAATTGCAATTAAAACAAGATGCAGACTTAAAGGTGATAGAGCTTTTTTGCAGCTGCACTACAAGTAGGCTCCTTTAATTACGTACATGCATTTAAAAATGCATGTAATTTTGCATTTAAAAATCTAAGTCAAAGTCACTAAGACGACTTTTCCTCTCCCTCAATGTTTTTGCTGCAGCAGTTTGTCAATCCTTTAAAAACACCACCATTAAAAACACTTTTATTTTGAAAACTCACTCAGGAAGCCTAGTCTGCTTGTTGACGTCAGGATGTTCCAGCCCGCTGTGACGTCAGGCTTGGCAGTGCTCACAGACCCTGTGGCACAATAAAAGCATGAGAAGCAGCGTCCTTTCCCCACTCACCCCCTTCTTCCCCCGGAGCTCCTTCCTCTCCACAGAGGCAGCATGCTGGGCCACAAGAAGAAGACAGAACCACTGCAGAGGACCAGAACCGAGGGGAGGACCATCGACCCTCTCAGGAATCTGGGTATCCATCTATCCATCTATCCATCTATCCATCTATCCATCCATCCATCCATCTATCTATCTATCTATCTATCTATCTATCTATCTATCTATCTATC